GCAGGTCATGGACCAGCCCTGAGCTTTCCATCCACGGGATGGAAGGGGATGGAGGCTTAGTCCAGTGGCTGATATAGAAATGTGCCACAGTTTTCGAGAAGCTCCCTTTTACATGCATCCCTCTGCTTTGTCTGTACTGACTTTAGCAATCCCACAGCCATGAGCTGAGCTGCCTGAAGGCTGTCCCTGCCTGTCACTGAAGGCAGGCACCGTTCCCCTGGATCACCTTGGGCCAACCACCAAACCACCACAGTAGCTATGTGCCCCGAGAGCTTTGGGGGAGATGCAGGAGAGCACAAACAATTTTGCTTACACATCCCAAAAATACTTTGTCTCCTCATGCTGAGGCTTGTTCTGGTCTCATTACACCTCACCAAATTGTACCAGGATGTGAGACTGGCAGCGTTTGGATGTCCAAGAACTGTGGTGGCCTTGGGCTCATACGCCAGACCTCAGCTACAGAAATCCAGGCCGTTCCCCTGGAGCCAGGAGGTCAGCCCTGGCCGGCGGCAGCGGAGCTGTCCCTGGACCAACACTTGTCCACAGGGAGTGCTGGGTGTCCATGTCCAGGTCTCTCCTGCCTGGAACACATGGGGACCTTTCAGCCCCAGCTAGAAATGAATTGAAGAAGACACATAATACACACTTGATGTGTAAAGCTGAAACAACCAGTGCATATATTTTTTTATCATGGAATAAGTAGCTTTCTTGCAGATTTCTCACAGGCACACAAACTGTTGATACCTTTAATTACCCATCATGCTTAATATCTGTTCCTGCACACCAGGCTCCTTTCTCCCTTTTCTTCCTTTCAGTAACACTAAAGATTATTGCTGTTCAACTTTTTTGCTGGTGTATATTGTTTTATATTGTTAAAATGTCAGGTTTGTCTCACTGGCATAATTTTGTAGTATTAATGTTACTGTTTGGCTACACAACTGTATATTCCCCATGCTGCTGTGAGAGTCACAATTCTCAACCTTTCATTTCTTTTCTTTCCTTGTTACATGAAAAACATGACTCAGAAAACCCTCTATCAGCTTTTTGTTGATTTGATTTCTTACTTAACAGACAGCAAAGTTCTGGTTTAAATAGTTCAAATGAGTTAACTTATAATTTAGGGTTTGAGAATCTTTTTACATTACTAGTTAACAGTCCTGAGATCAGCCCATGAAATATGCTGTGTAAGAAAACAACCATTTTATTAGAGCACTGTATATGTTTTTGGTCTCATTAGTAATAGATGTTTTGAAGGGATCATTGTGTCTTTTCTAATCAATACTTTTGTTAGAAAAGCGGTGTTTAGTCCAGCAGAAATCTACCATCTATTTCTGTTATTCTACTCCCTTGCTTGTATTTTCAAGTTAAATTTCATTTAATTTTCTGCACAGTGCATAAGGATGTATAACCAGAACTTGATCTTGTTTGAAGGCTGTGTCTGTGTTTGGTTCCATGCTGTACTTTATTATAACTTTCTTTCTTCAGAGACTGTTCTTACTCCACAAATACTCTTTAGTGTTAAAAGTGTAAGAAGACATCGTCCTTATATTCCTTAAATAATGGGTTATTAATAAAATGTTTTAAAAAAAAGAGTGGAATTCGTCTCACAATTCAGAGTGTTACTGCTGTGCAAGGCTGTACCTTGCTGGGGGAAGCAGTGGTGGGAGCAGGATCCAGGATTCACACTCAGTTCAGTGCCTGAGCTCATCACCATGAAGGCTGGGAATGTGGGATGGTAGTGGATGCCTGGTTTCTTAGGGGTTCTTCTGGAATTTCAGACAGGGGCAGAGTTTGAGTTCATTAGGCATTTCTGGATGCTTGCTCATTTCTCAGTTTTGAACCAATTCCTATAAGGAAAAAGAAAAATTATTTGTCCAGTTTCATGCTTCATCTTGCTGTGGAATTTCTTAATGGGAAAAATAAGCAGAGGCATCTAGCAAATGAGTGGTGAGACTTCTCTTGGATGGTACACTGGGCTGAATGCTCAGTGGCTTCTGTCCACGGAGATTGGCGAGAGGATATCTGGCAGTGCCCGAGGACATGCTGTTAACCTCCTGTGCATCTCCCTTCCTTCCTGGGATGCATTCCCTACTTCGGTAGATAGTTTCCATTATTACTTTACGCTGCCAGGACTACAGAGCCATAAAATCTCATTTTATCTGCATTACAGAGGTAATAAATCTGCGCTTAGCACAGTGTTCTCTGATAGTGGTTAAAGGGAACTCTGTCAGATGGCGTAACTCTGATGAGTCTTTCTCCTAATGACAGGTAACCCCACAAACGAGCAAGGAAGCACCTTGGGGGAGGGGGTGATGGGCAACTCAACAGGATCCTCAATAGACACACAGAAAACAGTTTCTGCTGGGGAATACAGCTTCCAGAAGCAGGTCCCAGGGTTGTCCCACCACTGCTGGCACAGCTCTCGGCTCAGTACCTTGAGGTGGGTGCCATGATTTTGGCTCCTGCTCCCTATTGCTCACTGACCACAAAACAGACGCTAAAACCCCGTGTGTACGTATGTAAGTGAAAAGCTCCCAGGCTGTTTGCAGGCAGGGAAACCACAATTACACATAGAATAATAAATGGAGTGAATTCAGACAAGTTAATCTCCCACTTCATCCGCTGAAACTACTAATGGTGTCTTGGGGACCTCAGTTTGCAGTTAATTGGCGTAAATCAGGAGCACAACTGGAGCTGATGGAAATTTGCAGGGAGTGAGGGGTGAGTGATGCCCTCTGAGGGCAGCTCTCTTGGAGGATAACCTCGTGTAGAGGGAGGACAGATGGGTTGGCAGACCCTGTGCCACTCTGCAGGAGGCAGGACAGAGGAACAGACCCTAGGACTGCTCTGCAGGATAGGGTTTGGAGCCTCAGTTCAGGCTGGACACTGTCACTTCTATAACCCTGCTGCTTTTCCAAAGGCTCCGATTTCTGCTTGCAGTGTGATAAGCAAATTCCTGCCTCCAATACAAAGCAACTTTTCTAAGCCCTCATGGTTACAGGGCATAGAAAAACGAGTGCTCTGAATTCCCGCTCTCAGTTGGCTGCAAAAGCCCCAAACCTGCCTTTTTCCTAAAAAATCTCATGTTTTTTTCACACAAGTCCTGTTGTTTGGGGGGACTGCCCACTCTTCCAATTTTTGAATGTGCCACCAGCACTATCACCAGCGTCATTTGCAGATGCAGGGCTGAACTTGGTGATGCCGTAAACAGGTACCTACCTCCCCCAGCTCCTGGGTCCTGCCAGTGCACACGGCAGCAGAAGCACCCAAAAGCTGTGGTTTCTGGGGAAAACAGCTCTGTGAAGCACATGGTGCTTTATTTCTCTTGGAATTATTAATTCCCACAAGCTATCCTCAGTAACAGTGGCGTCCTGGAAGCTGCCACAAGCCCACGGTGGCTGCGAGCATTATAAAAATGCTGGTGGGGCCCCATGGCAGGAGCCAGGGAGTCGGAGCAAGAGCACGGCTAGTGCCAAAAGGTCAGGGACACCGCAGAAATTCAGATGTTACCGAGAGGCTGGTGGAGCCAGAGCAAATACTTCCCCAGCTGAAAGCAACCTCATACAGCTCAGCCCTCCACTAAACGAGGGAAGCTTTAATGTGGAGCAGATGTAGTGACGTCTTCTTTCCTCGTTAGCTGATTCCGACACGCTCAGGGTGCACCATCCAGGGGAGTCTAACATTGCTCCTCTTCACAAAGGGGTTTTCACCAGATTTCTGGGAATGGTTACATGGTTTAGAACAGTCCATCAAGATCTGATTTTAGTCTGAAAAAAGAAATTAATTAGGATCCACTTTTATTTCTTCTTAGTTGTTTTCTCGCCAAGCAAACACCACAAGAGACACTGAGCTGTCCTTGCGGAGATGGCTTTTGCTGCTGACAGTGATGATGGGAGTTATGTTTGTGGAGAATGTGGGCCAAGGGACAGGGCAGGATCAGTTGGAAGGCACAAATTATTGTGTGGGCGCTGGGGCCGAGAGCTATACAGGGACACATTATTCTCATTTCATGCCAGGAGAGCAGAAAAATTATCCTGCTGTGGCAGCATTTAGGAGCAACTCATCCCTTACTGGGTCCTTCCTCACTGGGGCCTCTTCCAGAGTGAGCGGGCTGGTCCAACACCTGCTCGAGCGACCCGGGTAAGTCACCTTAGGATAGCGTTAAAATCAGGAGCACTGAGGTGGGACAAGCCAAGCACTTCTTCGTTCCTGTGAGCTTGCCCCAGTGAGGGGAGCCCTGTGAAGGGAGCCTTGTGAAGGGAGCCCCGGAGAGCGGAACTGTTGAGGGGAGGCCCTCGAGGGGGCTCTGATGAGAGGGGTCCTGTGAGGGGAGAAGCGCGAGGGGTCCTCGGTGAGGGAGACCTGTGAGGGGAGACTCATGAGGGGGCTCCGGTGAGGGGAGACCTGTGGGGCTGCCCCAGGGACGGGAGATCCGTGAGAGGGAGACCCGTCAGGTAGGACTGGTGAGAAGAGCTCTGTGAAGGGAGCCCCGTGAAGCAGAACCACTGAGGGAAGCCCCGTGAAAGGGGTCTGAGAGCTCTGTGATGGGAGCCCCGTGAGGTGGAACCACTGAGGGGAGAGCCGTGAGGGGGCTCCGGTAACGGGAGACCCCTGAGGGTCCCTGCACGCTCCCCGCAGGTCCTGGGCGCGGAGCGGCCCCTCACGGGGGCCGCCCCCCGGCCCCGCAGCCCCTCGTCCCCTCAGCCCGGCCGGCGCTGGCGGCGCCCCGGCGAATGCGCAAGATGGCGCAAGGCGCTGCCCGCCCGCCCCCCGCCCGCCGGCGGCCCCGCTCCCTCAGCGCCGCCCCCCGCCCGCCCGGCGCGGCGGCGTGTTCGCGCCGAGGGCAGCACCGCCGAGAGCCGCTTTTCCCCTTTTTTTCCCCTTTGCTTTCCCCCCCCTCACCCCTCCCGCCCCGCAGCTGGGGGTGGTTCTCGCCTGCCCGCCCTCCCTCCTCCCCTCCCTCCCTGCCGGCGGGCTGCTCCCTCCCCGTGGGGCGCAGGGAGGCGAGCCCGCCCGCCCGGGATGCCATGGCTCCGCCGGGCTCCGCGCTGCCCGCCTGCCTGCTGGGGCTGCTGCTGCTCGTGTGCCGCGGAGGTAAGAGCCGGGCTGGGCTGGGGGAGCGGGCGGGGGCGCGGACACGGACCGCGGCCCTGCCGCCGCGCCCGGCGCCGCTCCCGCCCCGCGGCCGCTCCGTCCGTCGGTC